AAGAGCGCTCCCCGACCCCCTCCGCAGTCTGCCTAGTCCTTTGGAAACACTTGGGCCTCCGCGTTGGGAGAGCGGGCGGGGGCCAGTTTGTGAACTCGTGTTTGTTTTAATTGTCAGTTGTATGTTAAAGCCGAGTCACACACTCCGAGGGTCACCGAAAGTTCACTTTTACGAAAAGTTAACGTTTCTTCCTGCAACATAACTTGCTGTTTTCCGAACAACTTTTCCTCTCCCTGTCTTCCAAGCTTAGATCCTTATTGCCATTTTTTTCTCGGTCTTTCCCATTTTCACTTTCCTAGAGACTAAGGTTGAAATTGGAATGAGATGTTTTTATATGAAAAGCAACTTTCTCCTGCAAAGATTAAACAAAATAAAACCTGGAAACCCCAGGGCTCTGGTTTACTTTCCAAACCGGGTCTGGCGTCTGGGTCCCTTCTCTTCCGTCTTTCTTTAAATGGATGGCTGTTTTGGAAGTAACTTGGGCCCTTGCGGTAAGATCGCGCTTCCTAAGCCCCTTCCCTCCCGCGGATACTTCGCACACGCAATGCTGAACCAGCCAGATACCAAGGTTTGGTTTCTGGACAGCCTCTGCCAGGGGAGCTTTGAGGGGGCAATGACGAGAGCTCGCAGCAACTGGGGGACAGTCGAACTTGGTGTGTGGATCGGAGCGTGTGGGTCCTTGGCCTGCCTGTGTGTGCGCTATGGTGTGTGTGTGTGGGGGGGGGGGAACCTGTTGTTCTCTCGTCCTGGAGTTGCTACCTTTAGTTTCCCCTACCCTCCACCCTTCCATGGAAAACTCTCCCCTGGAGGCCCGACCTGAGAGTGCCTCGTCTTCCCCGCCCCTGCCCGGAGCGCTCGGGTGGACCAGGGGTTAGCGTTGTGCGCAGAGCTGGGAGCTTTACCGGCTGCCTTTTCTGCCCCCGCCGTGCGGTGCCGGCTGCCCCCTGTTGGCCGCCTTGAGGTAGGACGTCTCCCAGTCTTCGCTTCTTGGGGCTGGCAGGCAGCTCGCCCCTTCTTTCCCTCCTACCTCTGCTCCCTTCATCCCTCTGGATCACCAGGCCCTACTCTCCCTGCAGGGCCCCTCGGAGGCCCCCAGAGGACCGGTTGTACAGCGTGGCCGCAGCAATGCGAAAGGGGCGGTGGGTCCAACCTAGCAAATGGGGATCGGGTAACTGGACAGCGGGGTTGGTATCTCTTCTCCAGGTTTTGGAAAGGGTGTCTCCCTAGAAAGCTTCGGGTCTGGCCTCAGCGGTCTCACCAATACTCTCTGTGGTTGAGGATGAGTGTTGCTTTCCCTCTCGGGTCCCAGTTTCTTCTCCTATGGGGGCGGGGGGTGAAAGTGCCTCTAAAGAGTGGGAAGTTGAATCTTTCATTTTCTTCCTCCAGCCATGGAGACTGCTCCCCCTCTAGACTGAGTTGAGCCTGTGCGCGGTTAGGCATCCCGTGTGAGAAGATGCTACACGGTGTGGGTATCTGTCTGTCTGTCCCGGGGGTCGGGCGAGTCCTGTCCAGTGGATGAACTAGAAACAGAGGAGACCGACCACTTTTCCCTTGGAGTCTGTGCGTTCCCGGACCTGCCGTCCGTTGTGAGCCCAGAGCGGGTCAGAGCGGTCCAAGTTCTTTGCGCTGATCCTCGCTCAAGGAGCAACGCCCGCTTTCCCTCTCTGACTGTCCCCCCTCCTCGCCGGGTCTGTGCGCGCACCCCGGAGCGCTATGGACAATCACCAGCGGCCTGAGGCGGCGGCGACTCCCCTGCGCCCAGGCGCGTGGCTTGCACGCAATGGCTTCTTTGTCTGCTCCCCCGAAGCAGACCCCCTATCGGCTCCTTCTTCACCATCTCCTCCCGCTTCTCTCTGCCCACCCGGCAGGACCCAAGTGTGTGACTGCAGCAGTGTTGATCTCCATCTCTCCCCTTGCTTCGAGGAGAGACCCAAGTAGGGGAAAGGTTTATTATACACTGAGAGCAGAGATTCTTCGTGGAGTTTCCCATCTTCCTTTTCGACACCGGGAGCTGGGGTCCAACTCCCTTCTTCCGCCTCGTTGGCGTGCCTCCTCTTTTCCATTCCCAGACACTCGGGCCCTGGACATGGCCTGTCTAGTAGAAGGGGATGCAGACAGCCCGGCAGCTGCAGTGGCTGAGGGTGGAGGACCTGTGCCCAGCCTCGTGGTCATTTATTTTAGCGGCCTGCCGAGAAAGTAGTGGGTGAGGACGTGGGTGCTGCGCGGGTTTGCACGCGATCTGACGCTCCCCTCAGGCCCCAACGCCCTCTGATCAGCCTTTCCCATCAGGTTTCCTGTCCCTCACCCCTCATCACCCAGGCTCGCTCTGCATTTGATAAAGAAGGATTAGAAACACCTTTAATCCTGAGGGAAGGCTTTGAAGGAAAGTCAGAAGGGGCTTGAGTTGCTCTGAATTGGAATGAAGGCGAGAGAACGCCCTCCTCCCACCTCACCCCTCCCCTGCCCTCCCAGAGAGGCTCAAAAGCCCCCAGCCCTCCTCCCCAAGGCTGGTACACCAAGAAGATTCCCAGGGTCCCTACAGAGTCAGCTTTCCTAGGCCCCTAGAGCGTTCCAAAACATGTAGCTGGTCCTTTGGGAAACTCAGCTTCTGATCAGAACTTTTGTTTCACCCCTGGTGTGACAGTCTCAGTTCGTACTGCCTTTTCGGATCTGATCTCTTTGTAAACAGGCGGGGATGTTTTGCCCCACCGAGTCCACGTATTTATTATTGAGTTCGCCGTGGGTTCCTTGACTCTCTCTTACTTGTGGGGCACTTTCTGGGTTGCGCTGCAATTGGAGCGGGAAGAAGGCCAAGGTGTTTCCGGGCAAGCGCACCGGGTTAAGTGCAGACACGACTGGCTGGGCTCTCCTATCCCATCCCCTTCGGGGCACCCTCGCCTACCCTGGAGCTGGGAGACAGAAACCGACGGCCGAGCTCCCGGTTGGCCCTCCCTCTGGGAGCTGGTGGGCTCTCCCCAGGGGCGTCCGGCCGAGAGTGGGTTCGGTTTGTGTGGCTTCGGCTGTAACAAAGAGATCTGCTGTAATCCGTGGAATCTGTTATCAATTTCTCAGCTGCCCGCGCTCCGCCCAGCGCGCCCCGCCCTCCTAGAAGCTGGAAAAGTGCGCGGGGCCAGCAGCTATCTTGGTTGCCCACTTGAAGCACGTCGGACCATGTGTGTGTGTACGCGTGTGAGTGTGCAAATGTGCACGAGTACAAGTGTGTATGAATGTGTGCGCGTGCAACTTCTGCCATCGTTAGGGAGAGTCGACTTTACAGCCCAGGCCGACCCACAGCCCGCCCCCTCCCCTGGAGGAAACTTGACACTTCGGGCGGGGGGAGGGGGTTGAGAGGGGCGGAGAAGGAACCTTCTCTCTCCTGGGCAGGGGAAACCCCAGATTTCCATTCTCTGGGATGCGCCCCTAGCTTTGCTGCGCTTTGGGAAAGACTGAGCCAGGGGCGCAGAGCCCTGCTTAGCGGGCTCTGTGGGGACCACATAAGCGTTTCCTCTCCAAGGAGCCCAGAGGGGTCCGGCCGCAGGGACGGCTGGCAGGGAAAAGCCGAGGCACGCTCCAGAGACCCTTAGCGTTTTCGCTGCTGCCTGAGTTCCCAGTGTCCCTTTTGGCGCAAGTTCCAGGCCGAGCCCTTCCGTCTCCTGGAAGAGGCTCATCTTTCGCTTTTCCCTAGGAAGGGCCTCCCTCGCGGGCGGCACAGCGCGGCAGGGCTACACTTATCCGAGATGTGAAAGGGGATTTTGGAAACCCGCTCCTCCCACCCGCACCCGCCTCGCTCCGCCGCCACCTACAGGTGGAGAAGTCACCAGTGGGGAGGAACGGCAGCAGAAGTTTCCAAGGCCAACTCCTGCCCCCGAAATTCTCCAGGAAGGGAACGTTCGCCATTGCGGCTCCCTGCGCCCTGGAAGCCCGGGGCTCAGCCCGAGCCGGGAGCTAGTGCATCCCTGGCCTCGCCGGGGACTCATTCACAGCCGCCCGGCCTCACCCCACAGCCCACCTTTCGGGACTGACCAAACCGTCTGAGTTGGTCTGGAGAGGCTGGACTGCAGGCGGGGTGGCACTGTTCCAAGGCCAAGCTCTGTGCTTCCCAGGCGAAGTGGCCGGCAACCCCAGGCCAGGACCAAGGAAAACTCTGGCGTCGTCTCCCTTGACTTTCAGTCCCTGCCCTGGGCTGCAGCTGCCAGGCGTGGGGGCGGGAGGAGAGTGAACAATCAGAATCCGGGAGAAAGTTGGGGAGAGGCAGGGAAGGGATCCCCTCCCAGGACAGCTGGACCCAGGTCCCCTTGTTTTCTTAGGACCCCCTCGGAGAAGGACGCAAGCCAGGCGGCACTGCGGGAGGGGGAATCCGTTACAATTTCCTTGGCTGGGAGAGCAGACCTCTGTCCCCTTCATCGCCCAGGCCCCCCATCTTCTTCTCCCCCCCCAGTAGTTGGGGAGAGGCAGGGAAGGGATCCCCTCCCAGGACAGCTGGACCCAGGTCCCCTTGTTTTCTTAGGACCCCCTCGGAGAAGGACGCAAGCCAGGCGGCACTGCGGGAGGGGGAATCCGTTACAATTTCCTTGGCTGGGAGAGCAGACCTCTGTCCCCTTCATCGCCCAGGCCCCCCATCTTCTTCTCCCCCCCCAGTGTAGCTGAAGAGCGTAAACCGGGCCGAAAGCTGATTATGAAACATACGATGTTAATTCAGAGCCGTATTTCCCAGCTGGGCACTCTGGCGCACTGGTCCCCCGGGCCTTGCCCCCACCCCCTGCCCTTCCCTCCT